GGAAAACTGATCTATATTTAAAATCACTTGATATCCATAATTAATTTGCCATGGAATTATTCAGTTTCTTAGCAATAATTGATTTCTGTTTTCTGTACCTTGTCTGGGAGTGACCATGAAGTACTCATAGCCTTATTATATTCTTACTTACTTCTTCTCAGTCTAGTCTCCTTTTCTTCTCAGAATGGGAGAGTTTGATGGTGTAAATAATATTACAAGAATTCTTCAGCTGAAGTCTATTTGATCCTCCCTGAAATACAGTAGCAACTTGATTCACAAACACTTTTATCTGCAAACAGCTTGGTTCACAAACAGAAGTGGTTGGTACCTTTTTGTTTGTTTGCAAACTTTGCATTGGGTGACAAACATGACTACAGCCATCTTCTCCACACAAACAGACACATGGCCCTTTAATCAAAGCTGTAGGACAAATTAGGTTTGTGAGCTGAGGTACTGCTGACCTTGAAAATGAGCTCCAATTCGTTCCTAGACCCTTTTTGTCCACTGATTTTTTCTTAGTAAAATTGCTGGCTTCTTACATATAATTTTGCCCTTTGAGGTATTATTACAAATGGCAAAGTAGTTAAAAATGCAAACTCTGGAGCCATATTGCTTGGATTTATTACTTACTATCAATGAGAAATCTTGAGCTAGAAATTTCTCATCAAACAAATGGGAATAGTGATAGTCTAATTGTTGCCTTTGAAGATTAAAAGAAATAATATATACAACATGTTTAAGATGTAATTTGTTATACAAATGAAGACATTATAGATTTATGTTTGTTATTTTCTTGATTATGATTGCCATTAATGAGACATATCTTAGACAAAAGCTGCTGATCATGTAGTAGTGTATCATCAACAAAATGCATAGTATATTTTTTATTTGAATCACTGAGCTTTATCATTGTTTTAGGAAATAATTGTATGGTCTGAGAATAAATTTTATCAATCATTTCATAAAAGGAAGACAAAAGAAATTCCTTTCAAATGATTATGCATGCATGTGATAGTGTAAACAGTTAAATTTTAAAGTATCAAAAACCTCAACGATATCCTAAATGCTTGATAAGTTTGTAATTTGAACAAAGATTTCTAAAAATTGTTTTTAAAACAGTTACTCTATTTGAAGAAGGTAGTGTGCATAGCTACTTACCTAGTATACATGATATATTTAGCTCTAATGAAATGTGACCTAGATACATTAATGCAAGTGAATAGTTTTGAGATTATTTGTTTATAACACTAGTTAGTCCTACTTTCCAGCTGGTCTAAGCATCCATTTAATTTGAGCTTAGAGAAAAAAATAGAGCTTGATCAAGCCATGATTTTGATTTTAAAATTCTCAAAAGCATATTTGATCCAGTTTTGCTTTTGTTTGTTTGTTTGTTTTTGTTTGTTTACTTGCTTGCTTGTTTGGATAATGAGGTTTATACTCCAAGCACATTTGGAAATCAGCTAGACACTCAGCAAGAGGCAGTATCAGATAGCATTTAATTTTGTGAAAGCACAATAATCTGCTTTAGTTTAGTTCCTAACTTTTTTTTAAACTTATATATAAACAGCTCTCATTTGAATAAATAATTACATAAAAAGTATGTACTTGGAGTGTATACAAATTTATTATATACCAATATTTAAAAAATTTCAGTTATGGCAGAATCTTGTTGAAATAATTCTGACAGTTTTCTTCAAAGTATGTAAAAATCATTACAATCAAGCTGGGTAGTAGTAAAAACAAATTAATTTTGTAGAAATGTATCACTTAAATGGTATTCTTATTAACATACTCATCTATTTTTATTTTTTCATGTGCTCATACAGATACACCACATACACACATCTGTATATTATAATCCATATTCAAATCTATTTTCTTAAAAATTCATATTATCATATATATATCCATATATAAATGTACATATATATATATCCATATATAAATGTATATAGATAGATAGATAGATAGATAGATAGATAGATAGATAGATAGATATTATAAAAGCTCAAAGATTTGTGAGGCCCTTTAAGTTACATGTAGTAATATTTCCCTATGGCCCTTAAAATGGAAGAAGCTCCATTAAATATGCATTCAAAAACATGAATGGTTTTAGAAAAAAATATAAAACTGTAAAATAATGTAGGATAAAAGGAATAAGAAAATATCAGAAAAAACCAAAACCCCTTAATTCTCCAGCCTCCTTTTACTCTTAGTCCTTATATGGAAATTTTCTTAGTAATGTGAGAGTTTGGGTGGAGACGCATGACTTTCCAAATCCAATTTGTGGGCAAGTATATCAAATAGACTCACACAGAAGGTTTTACACTGTCCTGACCTGGTAGAAATGAATTTGCTGCCACTAAGTACTATCACATCTTCAGTATTATTTGCCTAGGATGTGATTTAAACTGAGTATAGAGAAAGCTTAGGCACCACCCACAACCTCAGATCTCAGGCAGTTGAACTGTACTCCACAACAGAGTTGAGGACAGCAGGGTGGATTTGTCCCTCCTGTGGTGAAGTTGGATAATCCTCTAAATTTTGAAAGAAAGCTGACTGAATTAATAACATAGTAAAACACTATATCAATACAGCCACAGAAGTAAAGTAGTGGTTCACTGCCTGCAATCAGTTATTCTGACTTGTTTTCTTCAATGCACTTTGACATTTAAATCATAGCTACCCAACCTCAGTAAAAACCAAAAATATTTCATTCAGAAACATAAAATTTTAGGATTTTATAATGACGTTTAAAAGCTAGTCTGTATGGTGCGTTAAACTTAATCAGTAAATGTGCAGCTTATAGGGTATATGTGCAGCTTCTAGCTTATACCTTTTTATTTATTTATTTTAAAGGGAGTTAACAGAACAGTAACATGAAACAGCACAAAACAGTGATAGGGCAGTAGGAGACTCACTGTTGTGACTATATTGCATGTTGTTATCCTCTAGTTACTCAGACTACCCACCTGCTTCTGGCCTGTAAAGTATATTAAACAGCATAAAAATCAGGTTGCTTCCCTACATCAGTTATATACTTTTTGAAATAAAAGCAAAAGGTGCAAATCATCCAGTATAGCTTGGACTCTACTAAGTTCCATGTAAGTAGATCCTATTTCAATTAGATTTCAAATTTAATAAAGTTACAAATAGGAAAACTGATTTTTTAAAAAATCGTTCCATTTGTTACAATTTTGCAATAAAGCAATTAAAAACAGTATCCAGGAAAAAGACCATAATGTAGGAATGAAAATAATATATGAAGATATCTATAAAAATTATAACATTCATGCAATAGAAACTTTGTGAACCATACAACAATTAAGAACGGGAAGAAATTATGCCCTGTTCAACTTCCATTATCAGCATATAAGCAATTTTACGTACTCAGAGATACAGACTAGGAAAATACAGTATGAAATGAAGTGCTCTAGCCAAATATAAGACGTTAAAACTCCCTGGTTGCATGGTTTTAAATGGTATGCTTTTTATCTTTGTGAATTTCAATTAGACTCTACAATGAGGAAAGTCAGGAAAGGAATATTAATGATGGAGGAGAAAGCTGGCTGGTATTCTGTTCTTCAGAACCCCAACTAAATAAGAGAGCAAATATTTGTTTAGGTGGTAGCATATTTAATGCTCATTCACAAAATGATAGCTAATAGTGTATAAAGCACAGCCTGATATATTTACTATGTAAAGGTTTTACTTGGATCACAAATCTTCAAATCAGAGCTAAAATTTATTATAGAGTAAGAGTGGTTGCTTTTATATAAAAACTGCATCATCCTGAAAAACATCTAAATTTTTGGTGCATAGCTGACAAAATTGACGTGTTGGCACATACTCAAGGTAAAATGATAGAAACAGTATACTTTTCTTTTTTTATTTTATTGTTTGTTCCTCTTAAAGTGTCTAATGTTTACAACAACTTCTAGAAGAGACAAAAAAGGGCTCGGCTTTGCCTTAGCAGAATATGCATGACTTTGATATGTAGTGCAAAAATCTCTCTCTCTCTCTCTCTCTCTCTCTCTCTCTCTCTCTTTCTTGCCCAAGGCTCAGGTTGCATGTTTGGATTTTTTATAGCCTCAGATAAAAAAGGGAAATCACACAGAACAAACTCACACTGCTGAAAAAGGGGGGAATGAGACTAGAATTACCAGTTTCTTACAAGCAAAAAGCCCTAACGGGGGGAAACCTCAAGCCTGGCTACATTTTGCCCCCTGGGGAATGAACCGCTTTGGAAGTAGAGGCACAGCAGGTCCCTTTTTGCCCGGGGTAATGTAAACTTTTAGAGTTGATGATGGAGTTGAATCACTCTGTAAGGAGGAGGTCTGGGCAAAGCGGTTGGGGAAAGGGATTGCTGAAAGCGAGAGGGAGGTGCCTCAAGGTGTGTGCGCTGCAAAGGGCTTTCCTTACAGCCTCGCGCAGGTCTCCAGTCCGCTGAGCTCGGAGGGGAGATTGGTCCCGACTGCATGAGTGCGGAGGAAAGAGTGGTGTAGTGGGAGGGCTCACGCAATCAAAGAAACTTCCTGCTGTCTGATTCCACGCAACTTGGTCCTGCGTGTTTGCGCTGATGACTAAGGAAAGGCGTGATTAGCCTCGCTCTCCTGCGGGAGTGGAACCTCGGCGCGGCTTCCAGGCAGCCTCAGCGCCGTACCGCGGGGGGATCCTGGGGCCAACTGGCCGGGCGCGGCCCTGAGAATCTAGGCAATCACAGACACGTTGCATTCACAACTCAGCTCAGCCTCCACCCGCAGCCCTCAGAGCCCTCAGAGGCTGGAGGGAGCAGCCCGGCCACGGGTGGGCTCCGCTCCTCCGGCTCAGCGTGGGCGCAGGGAGCGCGCTCGGGGCGCACCCGGGCTGCGCCGCTGCAGGTGCAGGGAGGGCGGCTGTCTTTATCCGGAGTGAGGGGGTGGGGGCTCCTGCGTTCCCGAGAACCTCTTTATCCTCCTCCCCAGCCTGGCTCCTCCTCCTCCAGGCTCCAGGCTCCGAGCTCGTGCCCGCTGTCGTTTGCGCGCACCGCTCCTCCGCCCCCTCCTCCAGCTCCTGCCCTGGCTTCCCCCTCCTCCTCTCCTCCTCCTCGTCTCCTCCTCTCCTCCTCTCCTCCTCCTCGTCTCCTCCTCTCCTCCTCCTCGTCTCCTCCTCCTCCTCCGCCTCTACCCGTCATCGCCACTACAGACGCCTTCGCCGCTCGCTACTCCCTGCGCTGCAGCCGCCGCTCCTCCTCGCGCTCCCTCCGGCTTCCTCCAGCGCGTTGCTCCTAGCTGGTTGCTGCAGTCTCAGTCTCTCTCTCTCTCTCTCTCTCTCTCTCTCTCTCTCTCTCTCTCTCTCTCTCTCTCTCTCTCTCTAAGTTTTCTAGCTCCTCACGATCAGGGCAAAGGCACGGAAACATCGAATCCCGCTTGCTGCTTCAGGTAGGGTCGCACGCGTTGGCTCCGAGGGCTGCCTGCGCCTGGCGTGCACGTCTCCTCTCCCCCCACCCACTCTGGGAGCTCCCGGGTAGCCTGGGAGGTTCAGGTCCCCCTGTCCTCCCCAGCTTCTTTACAAAATAACCTCAATACTCATCGCTGAAGCATATTTGCAACTATTACAACCAGAGCCAAGCGCCTGGCTGGCTCGTTTACAGTCTCCAACTTTGCACGCGGATCTCCGCGGAGCCTGCCTGGCCGCGGTGGATCCGGAGCCTCACGCTCTTCGCTTATTGTGGTCTTTGGCTCCCGAGCAGCTGTCAAACGCATCGTTTCGCAGCACTTGATCCCAGCCGCGCTGCCTCCAAGACGTGGTCTTGGGCACCCGTGGATGGGCAGGGAGATTTTGATTTGATTTATCCTGAAGGAAGTAAGACGTGAGGATCGCGATTCACTGGCATGAAAAAATAATCATTGAAAAAGTGAGCTGATGGCCCCCGGCTGTTGGCGCTGTGCTTGCGGGGGTGGTCCTGGTGGAGGGGGCGGTGATGTGTAGTACCTAGCTCTCCTCGCCTCCGCTCTGCTCTTCAGCTTATTCCCTTGTCCAGTTTGTCTGTCAGGTTGGAGTCTGGTATTATTTCATGTGTGCACAAAACAGGATTTGTTGATGGTGGAGTTGGGGGGGGGGGGGTTCCTGGCAGAGCAAATGGACTGATTCCCTGGTCACCGTGGCATGTGAAAGAAATCATCCTCCGTCCATCATCACGCCCTACACTCAGTCCAAAGAAGTCATTTACGTAGCTTTAACTCCAATTCCCAGATGAAATCGCATTCTTTTGGATTACTTGGGTGGTGGGACTGGAAGCAGTTTTAAATATATGCTGTTTTTCTTCCATGGCTTTGCAAGGAGGGATGATGAAGACGACATTGTACCTCTCCAACGTGCAGTCGCTTCTTCTTGTTTTCTTGGTGTGGGATCCAGCCAGGTGAGACACTCAATGGTGTTTGATTCTTTTAATTCAGGGCGAAGTTGTGGTTTTTGGATGCCATCAATGCAGCTGTGGTTTGTGAAAATCAGGGTGTTTTGAAGAATTGTACTAGGAAAGTGAAGAATGAAGTGGCAGACTGTAAAAGAAAGTTCACTGCTTCTTGTTTTTAAGCGATCAAATGCAAAAGTAAATAGAAACATTTTTCGTACAAAATTGATTCACTGAAGGAAAGATTATGCTTTCATTGGCAAATTCCCACATGGAACCGCAGTGGTTAAGTTTTATGCACTTACCATAATCCTACAATTCAGTAACGAAGCCAAATTTTTCTTAAGGTGAGAAAGGTACAACAGATTTGAGAGGTAACTTAATTTTTTTTCTTTCTTTTTAAAAATGGTTTTGGCTCTTTTAGTCACTATAGAAACCTCAAATGACATGTCAAGTCTTAAACCTCTAGGTGGAGGTAGTATACAACTTCACAATCACAAAATAAAACAAAAGTTTGATTTATTCATCAGGTTTTCATATCATTAATTTAGAGATCAGCTATTATTCAAATGTTACCACCCCAGGGAGCTCTTACTTCGGATGTGTAACTAAAAACTTGAAATTAATTTTATTGCTTTAAATAAGTTCATCTTATTTGTAATTTTTGTCTGATTTTTAATTACCTGTGAAGGTTTTTGTTTACTACCTTTATGATATAAAAGGAATTAATAACCAAGTTTATAAAAATGCTTTTGTAACTATTGTTTAAATTTTTTCATTTAATTCCCTGTAATTTTTATGCTCCTGTTCAAATAATGGTAAAAGTGTGAAAGCATCTTCTGGAATTAAAATCCATTTATAAAAACTGCATCAGACTGTAACATATCTCATTTAACATCTTAGTATTGACTATTGAAAGCAACTACGAACTTGAAAATTTCTATGGGAAACTTTGTGATTATCAGTGATTCGTTTAAAAATTGGGTTATGTACATTGTCTTGAAACTTTTGAGGCTAGAATGTATGAACTGATTTACTTATATAACTTGAAAATGTCTTATGTTCATATTACTGTTTTAATATTTATTCTTTGAATAATGCTTGTTTAAAGTTGATTACCAAATTTTTGCTGTGTGATGAGTATTTTTGGCTACTAGCTCTGTTTTCATTTAAATGCAGGTGAATTCTGTTAATGCTGTGTTACACAATACACTTTGATCAGAATGTAATTACCTTTGATCTTTGATTTGAGAGACATGAACAATCTATGATCAATCAAAAAGGCTTAAAAATCTTAATGCTTAACTACATTCTTTTCTACTAGGTTTGTGTTCTATATTTGACCGGTAATGCTCATGCCAGTATTTTATTCTATTATATAAATGATTCCTTTTTGGGGGCAGTAATTTAAATCTCTGAATCATTCTGAGACAAAAAAAAATACTGACAGTGAAAGGAAACATTCTGTTTTATACATCCAGTTCCTTCTGCACCAAATTGCTGGATGTCACAAAATCAGGTCTCTGGCTTTATGATGGAGAAATAATAGAGAATAGCACTGTTTCTCAACATGATATTTTAAGACCATTAGTTCTTCCTACAATTTTTCCACCAAAAAAAGTATAGTGGGCTGTGTTAATCTTTACGTTGTTCCTTACTGCTCTCTGGCACCAAACGTGAGGGACCAGCCTGCAAAGCTTTCTACAGCAGAGTGTGTGGCTGAAAGCTCTCTACCCCGCCCCCCCTTCAGCTACGGAGCTGGCACAGGGCCAGTGGAGTTTCCCTGATGTCTATATTGCACTTGGCCATTGGGTGGAGGTATACCAAAGGAAATAATCTTGGTTTAAAGAGCACAAGATATAAAGAGAATCAGAAAGATATTTATGAGGAAGATAGAGGCATTCGGAACACTCCACCAGGCAATTTATTTCCTGATTAACATTTAGAACATTGAAGAATTATTTTGGAGTTCCCTTGATTATTGCACTGTGAAATAACATTACTAATCATTTCTACATGTGATAATCCATGATCATTATCTATTCTAGAGAATAGACTTTAGAAAAAGAATCATCCACGTAGAATGCTAACTTGTAGAAATAGTAACTAGCTTCATCATCAAACTCCTGATACTCTGTTATTTACTACACCAGGATTACTTTCCCTGTAGACATTTACAGAAATGAAAAAGGAGAAAATGAGTTGTACTACTAGCTTAAGGGACCTTACATTCCAAGCAAGGAAGAAGAGTGTGTTGGCACTTGCAAAACACACATATGTGTATGTATCAGCTTGTGCAATTATCTGTTTAGGTTGGTCCTGGCTAACATCCAAGAAGATGAGGCTAAAAATAATATTACCATCTTCACAAGAATTCTAGACCGACTTCTGGATGGTTACGATAATCGGCTTAGACCAGGCCTGGGAGGTAAAAACACTTTTCCTTAAAAAACTCTCACAGAATAATACTTTGTAAAAGTTAAGGTTAATATTCATTTTTAAATGCTTTTTATCCACCAATGCATTGCTATGTACTAAATATCATAAAAAACAGAAAGTAAGGTATATTTAATAAATGTTATCTGTGATTCCTTTTTCCGTATATATAATGTATTTAATGCATCTTTTATAGAATGCCTAAGTTCATAGGGAACACAGATATTTTAGGCACAGCTTTCAAATTAACTTACGTCTAATGATTAAGTTTTTCTCTTTTAGAGTATGTTAAAAATGTAACATTATTGAGCAAATATACTTGCGTAGTATGTTTAGTAATTTTCATAATATTTTACAGATGATTGTTCTCATTAGATATGCAAATAAGATTTATAAATATAAAAGAATATCTAGGTTGTATTTCAACAAATACATTTTTTAGCGTTATATAATAATGTGTCTTTCTACATGAAAAGTTGGATTTCTGAAGTATTACAGAAGTTTACCTTCTTGAAACTTGCAAATATATTTTAGATGTACATTGGTTATAAGCCTAAATTACTAGGTTGTGGTACCATTTGAGTTCAAAATTAAAGATTCATTTTTAACTTAGAAAAAAAGTATATTTTTAGTAATGAAACAAAAGCAAATTATCCCTGGCTAATAATGTTAAACTTTATCATCCTTTAACATTGCCAGGTGATGCTAAAGAGGTAGGTAAAAAATAGGGTAGGCGTGCAATTCCTGGAGAGATTCTGAGTCAAAATGTTGTTTCTCATAAATTCTAGCATGAATATATGAATATATAATATTTGTTTAATCAAGTACCTTAATTACAAGACTACATATTATAAATGTACATTTGTGTAATAAGATATTTAGTTTGACAATTTATAAATACTAACAGGAGTTGAATGACCATTTGGTGTAGATCAATGATTTATGCAGTCAGCCTGGTGGTTGCCAGGTTTGGTGACTTTGCGATACTAAATTGCTTAAAGGGATGTGTATTGAGTACGTGCCTGAATATTGATGTAAATAATTACTTTGAAAAATACAGATGGCTGTTAATTCTTTCTATCTATCTGTCTGTCTATCTATCTATCTATCTATCTATCTATCTATCTGTCTGTCTATCTTTGGAAGTTATACCATTTGAATTTTCCAGTACTAAGAACACTGAGTTTGTTGTTAAATAATATGTCATTTAATTGCTCTCAAATTTTGACTTGAATCCTTGGGTGGTACATTACATTTTAAGTGAGCAGTCCCAGGAAGGAATAATGTTCACAGTTATGGCACATATTTTTAGTGGAAAATTCAGCTTGTTAGTATACACTACTTTCTATAAGAAAAATTCAAAAGGAACACAGCACCTCCTTAGTAACTTAATGTGTGTAATAAGCATGAAATACAAAATTGCTCTCCATGCTAGCAGATGAAATGTTGGCAAAATCCTGTAAACGAAGAAAGCCTAGAATATAGCTATCATAATTTATATTATATTGATGATTTAAATTATATATTACACTAGATCATATCTGTTTTTATATACATTTTATTATTTTGAAATAAATAAAGTCTCAAATCATCAAACATTCAATCTAGACCTTGGACTTTCATTTTTTGAGGAAATATTTGTCACCTGGCTTAGTTGTAGAAACTACAGTACCCGTTTCAGGAGATGGGTAGTCTCACTGATCTTTTCATGTTTCTTTTTAAGAGTCTTTTACATTAAGCTTATATAACATACTAAGTGGCTTTCTCGGCTCCCTGTGTTCCTTCTCCAATCCTCTGATGCTGAATGTACGTTAATATCCCGTAGCCTGATTAGCCATTTAGCTGCACGTTGCTTTCGTACAGTACTCACTCTTCCTGAATAAAGTACCGAGGGTGGCTCTGCGTTGCTGCTGGAGGATGGCGGTGAAGAACAGTGAAAGGAACGTAGGCTGGGGAGCAGGTAGATCTTGAGTAGAGTTGTACTCCGTTCCTACACACAAAGCTGTGCCCTGGCTACAAGATGTCTGTTTGCTCTGATTGGAAATGACCATGGCATATTTACTTTTATGCTCTATATAGTTACTGAGAAGATTACACAAACAAAAGTACAGTACACAAAGCTTGTGCTCCAGATTAGCAATTCAACATGTATCGATTCCTTTCCTCTTCCCTTAATATCCCGATTAAAGAAGAACTTGCAAAACCTACTTCCCTGGCTTCATTTCCCAGTTCACATCAACTCCCATCCATTTTACATTTGAAATATATCTCTTCTTTCTCTCTCTTTCTTTATTTATTTATTTTTATTTTTATTTTTTATTTTTTTTTGTGCCGGGAATTGAACTCATGATTTTGCACTTGTGCTGCAGAGCCACATCCTCATCCCTCTTCTTTTTCTCTAAATAATCCAGTCTACTCTTCCAGCTTTTGTCCACATTATTCTCTGGAATAATTGTTTCTCCTGTGTTCTCCCAATTGAAAACATATCTTTTATGCATAAATCATCTTAACACTAGTCCTTTTATTAAGATCTTTCTTAACTGAAAAGAAGCATCCAGATTCAGTTTTCTCTGTACTGAATTTCTGTAGCAGTTGTTGGCTCTCTATCTCATTTGGGACTTACTATGTTTATCTTTTATTACTTATTACATTTTTATGTGTCTCTTGTTACTTAAGATTTTAAGCTTACTGAGGCAAGATACTGCATCATAAATCATCTGTGATTTCAGCAACTAAATATTGATTTGCATATAATGGCCATAAAATAGATGTTGATTGCTTGGTTAACTTTTCTATGATCAGTTAATCATCTGGAAAGTGGGATTACTCATGTCTGGCTGACCTTTTAATTAGGAATGTTGAGTGACATGTAGAGTATCATGCTGCAGAAAGACAGCATGGCTCAGTGAGAGAACCTGGCTTTACACTGTAAAGATTTAGGTAAAATCCTAGCTCTTGTGCCTAGCAGGGTGTGACTTTTTAATATGCTTCTCTTGATGCACATTTGTAATCTTATCATTGTCTTGATAAATATGATACATAGAGTAAATTTATCATAGTGTCATATTGTAGTTAAGAAATAATAAAGTTTAAAAAAACTTTTTGAAAAACTTTCAAAATATACTGTTGCAAATTTAAATAGTTGAGAGCATCTTCTGCATCCAAATGCTTAGCCTGACTGTATGTATGTAATAGAAAGCTCAGGAAATCACTTCTATTATTCTATCCCACAATTTAATAGTAAGTGAAAAATGAGATTAAACTCAATTCCATTTTAATATAACAAAATGACCATCTATTGATGGCTAATCTGGGTAAGTAATCTCAATAATTAATGCGTAATTAGGAAAGAAGAAGCGGTCTTTAACTCTTAAGTTATTTATTTTTTCCTTTCATGATTCTACTACTTACTAGATCACAGGTCAAAGAAGTTATACTTCCTGAAATTTGTTATTTTCTTTGAGAAAATGAGAATCATATTTCATTCTTAAGGGAGAGAATATATCAGGATTCAGATATATGACAAAAGTTATATAACATCAGATTATAAAATTTTAAAATATTAATAACATATGATTAACGATGATTATTAATAACAGATCCTTTAAAAATGTAGGTTAGCACACACTGATTCACTCGAAACCTGGCAATGCTGTCTTATTCACTCCAAATAGGATTTCTTGTGGTCGTCCCCAAAGCCCTGCAGGGTCTGTCTTCTCATTCTTTCTTTGACCTTAACTTGCACAAGTCTCTTGCAAGTTAACATTGCTTCAGTAAGACTGGCTTCCTTCCTACTCTTCAAACACACCAGGATCATTTGTGGGGCTTTTTCCCTGAGTATTGCCTCTTTGCTAGAATATCTACTGATCCTCCTTTTCCAGTGATCCTTATTCTGACCAACTTAATAAATAGTACAGTCACTCCATCCCCAGAAATCATGACCCTCCTTATCCAGCTTCATTTTTTCTGTTTTTTTCTTAGCTATATCTTTTAATATACAAAATCACTTGTGTATTACTGGCATATTAATTGCTCATTTCTTTGTCTCTTTTTGAGACAAATGTAGGCTCTGTGAGTTTGGAAATTTTGACTGTTGATGGTTTGTTGCTGTATCAACTCTAACCGTGTAGAATGGCGCCTATTAAATTTTATGTTGATTATTTTTTTAATATGCCAGCAGGAAAACAATCACACGTAGAATTTACATTGTCTTCAAAATCAATGAAACGATTAAAATTTAAGTACCAAATTTGCCTTTCACTGTTAACATGTTTTTGGTTGACTTTTTTTTTGGCGGGGGGGGGGGGTTGTTTGACGGTGTTTGGATGATTTGGAAAAATTATTCAACCAGTTACTCAAACTCCTGACTTGTATTAAGCGTGATTCTAAATTTATGATTTATGTGATTCTTTTGTCCCATTTGTAGTTTTATCATCTATGAAATGGGAAGGCGGACTCTATTCTATTTTTGTCTTGCAGAAATAAATTAAAATAAATGCATTAGACTCTTAAGTATGTAAAATTGATATATATGAATATGGTTAGGAAGAACAAAGAGATTTATGAAAGTAAAATAGCCTCTTAGGACGTAGTATTTGACAAACATCAAGTAAGTTTTGGTAAGTTTTATGCTTTTGGTAGGTTTACTTGTTTGTAAAATGGGGAACCTGTGATGAGAGTGCCTTGAAATCTGATATTCCAAAGCCATATATTAAAATTAGACTCCACAATAAATAAATCAAGTTTTTTCTTTTTTTGTCTTCAAGTTAGTTTTTGGAACTAACAGTTTTAGAGACCACCCATGGGAATCTACTTTTACACAGAGGCTTTCAAACTGTTAATTGAAACAGGAAGCAAAATTTGCTTTTGGGGCCAGTATTAGGGAATGTGCAGACAGGCCTCGTATATTTATGACAGCTAAAATCAGCAATGCAACCGTGATAGTTCTCAGAAATCATAAGGCTTGGTATTAAATTATAGATTTAGTCTTGA